TCCACTCTACAACCCTCATTGCATACTCCTACGATAAAAATAATGCCCTAAAATATAATACTTTTAGACTATTCTCTCCCCTATAGACTTCAATGCCGTAAACATATTTCATCCAGTTTTTCTTAATTAGGTATTTTTTAGAAAACCTTTTACTAGCAGTTTTGTGGTGATTTGACGGGAGCAAAAGTAAAGATCTGTATTCCGTTTGCCTCCTTTGCCTATTAGATTATAATGTCTTTAAAGGCTGAACACTAATTAATGGAGAAGATACTTTTAAGTTACTGAATATTTTAAAATTAGTCTCTTTTTATTACTTGTATAGAAAGTAAATGCCCTTGAAATGTTTGCAATAGGGCATTATTTGTACGTAATTTTCCTTATCAGAGACCTAAAAGCAGTGCTATTATGATTCGTATCAACCAGCAAATACTTATGGTGGACATATATTTATCAAACCCTATTTTAAGTAAATAAAAACTAAATTGTCATCAGTTCTTGGTGTATGAGATCTAAATTAATAGACTTTGACTGATAGGCCTGGAATTCCTTTGCTTCTCTTTGGCCATATTTTTTATGTGGGTAGAAAATAAACAGATTTTACCAATATGGCAGCTCTTACAAAAACTGATAAATCCTTTGAATCTGCAGCCCAGTCAATACAATACAGTAAAGCTGGGAGCCTTCCAGGCTCAGGAAAAAGAACTGGTATTTGACATCGACATGACCGACTATGATGATGTGAGGAGATGTTGTAGGTAAGCACTGTGTTCATTGCTCTCGGGATGGGTGGTATGACTGTCAGTGATTAACGATAACTCTGCTCCAGTTCTGCAGACATATGTTCTAAGTGTTGGACCCTCATGACAATGGCCATGCTTATCATCGACAGAGCATTAAAGGGCAAGTATCAGTAGTAACCGAATGGAGTCAGCTGCAAATATCTATTTTTCTCCATACTAATTTATCATCTAATCTCATAAATTTCTAATATATTTCCTTAAAACATATAATAGACAAATATAAGGCAGAGAAATCAAAGATAAACCTGTTGAGCGAATCAGTGTCTTTTTCCAATTCATTTATAGAGCAAGAAGTCACAGTGTAAGCAGAAACAGGTTTTTTGGTGGTGTGTTGTTGTTTTTTGTTTTTTTTTCTTTTTTATTATTTTTGTGTGAGTGTACCGTCAAATCAGATCTGACTGGTACAGGAGGAGATTGTCCCTCCTTCCCCAGCAGAGCATCTGGTGGATTCGAACCATACGCCTCTGGGCTTTTAGTTGCAGCTCCTTGCCACTAGGCCACCAGAGCTCCCCTAGAAACAGGTTTTTTAAATAGAGTTGTGTTAGGTAATATGCCTGTGTGCTGTGGAGAAATAGTACAATAGGAAAGCACATAGGAAAGGGAAGGGTTCAGGTCAGAAGTCTTCCCTGAAAATTGTGGTGATGATAGTGATGATGATGATGATGATGATAATAGCTTATTCATATGAGGGGCTTACTATGTGCCAGACATAATTCTGAGCACACCTACAAGCTCTTTGAATATCCCTAGTCTTTAAGACTAAGTCTTAGTCTTTAAGGAAAGATTAAGACAAATCCTTAGTCTTTAAGGCTAAATGTCAGTTGATCAGGGAGAGAAATGGAAGTAGTGAGGCATGAAGAAATTCTTAGCAGAGCCGCTAGGATGTATAAAGACAGACAGTTTATCAGATCTACTTGGATCTTGGTAATTTAGAGCTAATACATGCCAACGGGTGCTAACCCCATTGTGGGTGGGGGAGATGCATGCATTTATCAGGTCTACTTGGTAACTGTCGTAAAGATAGGAAGACCAAAGTAGGGAAGGGACACAGGAAACAACAGATAATTCTGTGTAATTAAAGGGAGAATACATGTTAAAAAGACTATAAAATAAAACTGAACAAGTAAACAAGATCCAGGAATCTGTTTCAAAACCTACTATTTCTTTCCTCAGAGGACTTTGGATTTAAGCATCGTCTCTGGGTTTATTCTGGAAGGAGAGGTGTTCATTGTTGGGTCTGTGATGAATCAGTTAGAAAACTGTCCTCTGCAGTGCGTTCCGGAATAGTTGAGTATTTGAGTCTTGTAAAGGTAAGGTCCTCTTGATAATAATTTTATACTTATTTATTTACTGAACATTATAAATTTGGTAAGTTTACTAAACAGCTAAGCTTTCATAGCATCTACAAGTCCAAGATTGACATTGTGACTGCAGCAGTGGGCCTGAGCATGGTAGACTGTGAGAATGGCACAGGATAGGGATAAGTTACAATCTGTTGTTTAGAGGGTCACTCCACGTTTATTTGATGGCCCCTAACAACAACATTCCAGAGTAAAAATGTAACAGATTAATATTGTAGTAGCTAAATGTTTTTGGATATTGTAAGTATCCTCCTCTTTGACAAAAGAAAGTTTAATTTACTTCTCTGGAACTATTATATGATGAAAACACAGAGTTACAGCTATTGAGACTGTATAAAATAGTATACAAGCATCTATACTTTGACAGAATTCAATCAGTATCTTTGTATTTATATAATATTAAATGTAGTAGAATATTTTAAAGATATTTCAAAGTTTATTTATATGATATGCCCAGTTTTAAAATTTTTTGATGGCTTGTTTTTCAGGGTGGTTCAGAAGTTAAGAAGAAAGTTCACCTCAGTGAAAAAGTACACCCTTTTGTCAGGTGTGTTGGAAAAGACCCAACTTAAGTCTTTTTTTTGTGCCTGATTTATGTATGTAGTTTTTTTTTCTTTTCTTGTTCTGCATGTGCCTTTAGAACTATCTTGCTATCAGTTTCACTCCTGGTGTAGCACTTTACAGTAATAATGCCAAAAGTATTGCCTTAGAGTGGACACTGCATCATGGTTACCCGCCATTTTCTGAGACTATAACCATGGAGCAGCTGGTAGGTTCAAGCCATCACCCTTTTTATGAGCAACCAAGAATTCAATCCACTCTGCCTCAGGATTCCTTACAAAAATAATAGTTCAAGTTAATTCGGTGCAGGAATTGGCAGAAAACAGGCCCCAGGAATTAATGGAATACCAGTTGACATATTTCAACAAACAGATGTAGCCATGGATATGCTAACCAGGTTGTGCCAAGAAATATGGAAGACCTGGCTGACTGACTGAAGAGATGCATATTTGTTCCCATACCAAAAAAAGGTGATTCAACAGAGTGTGAGATTATAGAATGAGATCACTAATATCACACACAAGCAAAATTCTGTTGAGGATTATCCAAGAGGGACTGGAACAGTACATGGATAGAGAACTATCAAAAATAGAAGCTGAGTTTAGAAGAGGTCATGGCCCAAGCAATATCATTGCCAGTGTCAGATGGATCTTGGGCAAAAGCAGTGAGTACCAGAGGAATGTCTATTTGTGTTTCACTGACTATGCAAAGGCATTTGACCATGTGGATCATAACAAATTGTGGCTAACCTTGAGGAGAATAGGAATCACAGAACATTTGATTGTGCTCGTGCAAGACCTATACTTGTACCAGTCATCAAAACAGAGCAAGGAAACACTTCAGGGTTCAAAATCAGAAAAGGACTGGGTCTTGTCACCTTACGTTTTCAATCTGTATGCAGAACAGATCATTCAGGAGGCTGCACTTTTTTTTGTTTTTTCTTTTTATTTTATTTTATTATTTTTGTGTGCGTGTACCGTCAAATCAGATCTGACAGGTACAGGAGGAGATTGTCCCTCCTTCCCCGGCAGAGCATCTGGTGGATTCGAACGGTGCGCCTCTGGGATTGTAGTTGCAGCTCCTTACCACTAGGCCACCAGAGCTCCCCAGGAGGCTGCACTTTATGAGGAGGAATGTGGCGTCAGGACTGGAGAAAGATTTATCAGCAACTTGTATTATGCAGAAGTAGTTTGTAATATGGGTTGAAGCTCAACATCAAGAAAACAAAGATTCTCACCACTGGGCCAACTGGCAGCATCATGATAGATGAAAAAGAGATTGAGATTGTTAACAATTTTGGCTTGCTCAGTTCCACAATCCACTTTTGGCACCAGCAGTCAGGAAATCAGAAGATGCGTTTCATTAGGAAAATCTGCTGTCAGGGACCACTCCACAGTTTTGGTGCTGGAGAAGAGTACTGAACATACATACTATCTGTCGACTGCCCAGAGAACTAACAGGTCTGTCCTTGAGCGTGTGAAACAGAGCTGCTGCTTTTTTTTTTAAATGAGATTTTAAGGAAAGATTATAGAGAACTTGGATTTCCATTCATTCATTTTCCTCCCTGCCCAGTCCTCCCCCCCAGTTCACTTTTCTCTATGAAAAGAAAAAGAATGCTTTCATTTTTATACAATCCCCCTCCCCAAGTCCACTTTACTATGCAGTTCTTTTTTTTTACACATGAAAATTAATATGTTAAAAGAAAATAATTTGTTTGTGTGTGATTGAAAATGCCCCACTTACCACAAATGGCACAAGTAATGTATTTCACGTAAGTGAAACAATTTTGAGAAGTATGACACAGTCTTTGCTGTCATTTACTATGCAGTTCTTATTCTGGAGTCTTGTCATGCAAATAATACTTAATCATATATCTCTTTTAAATACTTCTCTCTCTCATCTGTTTCAATGTAGTGTACATTATTTATCTCCTTTTCTTTGTTTCTCCCGAACCCGATGTCAGTCCTGTTTTACAACAGTGGCTATATTTCACTCAAGATAGTGTCTTCCAGAGTCACCCATTTTGAATAATATTGCATGAGTTCCTTATTTTTCAATGCAGTATAGTATTCCATTGTGTGAATATACCACAGCTTCTCTATCCATTCCTTTGTTGATGAGCACTTAGTTTGTTTCCAACTCTTTGCCATTGTGAACAAAGCAGCAATAAACATAGGTGTGCATATATCTGCTTGGATGGCAGTTCTGGTTTCTTTAGGTTATATTCCCAGTAGTGGAATTGCTGGATCAAATGGTATTTCTATTTGCAACTTTTTGAGAAAGCGCCATACAGCCTTCTATAGTGGTTGCACCATTTTACATTCCCACCAACAGTATATAAGGGTTCCAGTTTCTCCAAAACCTCACCAGCATTTGTTGTTTGCTGCTCTGTTGAATTTTGCTATTCTGACTGGGGTGAGATGATATCTCATAGTTGTTTTGATTTGCATCTTAGAGCTAGGGATTTTGAATATTTCTTCATGTGCTTGTTGGACATCTGAATGTCTTCTTTGTTGAAGTGTCTGTTCATATCCTGTGCCCATTTTGCAGATGGGTTGTTTACCTTTATCTTGTTGTGGTGATCCAGTATTCTATAAATTCTATATAAGTCCCTTATCAGACATGTCATTACCAAATTTTTTTTCCCCAGTCTGGCTTTCCTTTTTACCCTGTTGTAGAAGTTTTTAGATGTGCAGAGGGATTTGATTCTTAGAAGGTCCCATTCATCTGTTTCATTCTCTCCTGGTTGTAGGTCAAGCTGCTTCTTAGAGGCAAGGATTTTGAGGCTCCATCTCACATACTTTGGGCATGTAGCCAGGAGGGACCAGTCTTTGAAAAAGGATATCATGCTTGGAAGGGTCAAGGGACAGAGCAGGAGAGGAAGACCAGACAGAGCAGGATGAGATAGGTTGACACAGTAACTGGGGTAATGAGGGTAGGTGTGTCAGAGATAGTGAGATTGGCTTGGGATTCAGAGCTGTAATGCATCACTATGAGTCATAGTCAACTCAATGGCACATAACAACATATTGTGCTCTATATTATCTATAGTGGTGGTGGTGTGTGTCATTGAGTGAGAATCAATTCATAGCTGGCCCTCCATCAAGTTTTCAGAGGCAGTAAATCACACAAGGTTGAATGTCAATATTTCCCCCATAGAGCAGCTGGACAGATTCAAACCACATGCTTTCAGGTTGACAGTGCAATTCCCTACCATTAGGCCACCACAACTCTCAATGCTTAACTATGACCTTCATAAAATACTGATGCCTCTGTTCTTTCTTTGTATACTGGGGAGAGCATTGTCTGTTCCACCTATCTCATAAGTTGTAACAAAGAATCAATGAAACAGTAGGTATGAATAATATTTAGAAAATGCTTTATAATTGTTAAGATGTTAAAGCAAGCAATTTAGAGTAGAAACTATAGAATGTGTCCCACATTATACTGCTGGTATGTTGTATTATCCAGACACAGTTGCTTTCTGTATTATATGTTTATGATGTGATTAAGCTGGGTTGTGGAGTTAATTTAGAATATTTCTCAAATATTCTGAAACTAGTACTGTGCTAGGTTATTTCTGTTCCCTAAGAACGTGTCATTTAACTTTGCATAACTCTGCAAAAAGGTAGCATTTCCATTTTACCCAGTTAAGTCTAGAAATTGAGTAAAAATTTGAATAAAATTAGCCTCCTATCAAATGGAAAAAGTTATGTGGTGTAGATATGTTGCTTATAGTGCTCGGACTCTTGTTATTGTTGTTTCTACAGGAGATCTATAAACATAATTAAAAAATACTTTGAAGAATATGCCTTGGTTGGTCAAGATATTCTTGAAAATAAAGAAAACTGGGATAAGATTTTAGCCCTTGTTCCTGAAAATATCCTTTCTCAAGACTATTTATATGTGAACTAACTATATTGATCTGTGCTTTGAGAAATGTATTCTGCCCATACATCCTTATATACTTACTTCTAAAAACAACATTTTACATTTCTTACACATCTACATTTTTTCTATATCTAGTATTAAATACAATAAGAAATTAAGACATTTCAAAAATATATGTTACTTCATTTTGGAAGTTGGTCCTCCTGTGTTGTTGTTATATACCATCGAGTTGGAACTAACCCATAGCTGACCCTCCAGAGAGAGAGCTTTCAGAAGCAGTAAATCACCCAGGAGGTTGTCTGTCTTTCTCCTACTGAGCAGCTGGTGGATTCAAACCATACACTTTTGGGTTGGCAGGACAAATCCTTACCACTGAGCCACCAGAACTCCTCTGGTCCTTCATAGTTAATGGCTATTAAAGAAATTCCAGTTGTGTAAAAAAAAAGAATGCTAGTTGGTCTAAATAGGTGTAGACCAAGAAAAACTTTCACATTAAACTTGTGGGGGGGTTTTTGCATTCTGTCATCACCACTGTACCTTAAATGTTTTTAATTTAAAAAAAAAATTTTTAGTGATAATAAGTATTTAACATTTGCATTTCAGAAAACAATAACTATTTTCTAAATATATGTGATTTAGATATTTCTGTGCTAATATATATTGAAAACTAAGCTGTTCACAAATGTACCCTAACTGAGTATGTTCCTTAATGACCTGTCACCGATTCATGATGAACTTCAGCAAGGCTTCCAAAAATGTCACAATTCACTTCAGCGATGGGAATATTTGAGGAAAATAACCAGTAAATATCAGGTATATACCATTGAAATTTGTATTAAAATAAAACAGTGCAGCCATTAATTATGTTCTGATTAGTAAGTGAGATATAATTGATCATTTTTTAACATCTTTTAAAAAGTGCCTGCTGATTCTCATGCTGGATTTAATACCTGTTTGTTTGGAGGGGTTTCTAAAAATATTTTTATTGGTTTGCATATAGTCATTTATATACATTGTAATTCATGAATGGGCATTGTTTTTTACAGTCATTTACATTGTGTCACATTCATGTACATTGTGTTTTATACAACTAATACATATTCTATTTTATATAATTATTGATTTATGCCTATTATCACCTTGTTTTTTTCAAGTCCCCACTGAATCTTTCCTATTCCTTCAACTCCTCTTAACACCTGTTTTTAGAGTCACATCAAGAATGACAAATATGGGCCCTGGACAGAATGGGAGATCATGCTCCAGTACTGCTTTCCTCGGTTGGATATTAATGTTAGCAAAGGAATCAATCATTTGCTGAAGAGCCCTTTTAGTGTTCATCCTAAAACAGGTACTAAGGAAAACAAAGATGAAAGTCCTTTTTTGTTTTAATAAGCATATCGTTGGGTATGAATATAAATAATTGCTAAGATATTAAAATTTGAAGATTTGTTCTGTCAGCTAATATCTAAATTATTTTTCACATAGTTAAATAGTTACCACACCACCTGTCACCATTAGCTATTTTTCAGTTGTGTTTCTGAGGCTGTGTGATAAATTAGATTTGGAGAAGACCATACCCCAGAGATATTACAGGTTTAGTTCCAAACCATTATAATAATACAAGTCAAGATATTTTGGTTTTTCAATGCCTTTAAGTGACATTTAACTTACACTGTAGTCTATTAAGTATGCAATAGTGTTTCCAAAACAACTAAATTATGCTCCCTGCCACCAGAAAACCCAATCTTGGAAGACAGGAGCTAGGATGAAAAGGTGTTATTATATGTGTTAGCTTTTAGGAGACAGGGTATGGGCCTCCCAAATATGTCTATTTAAGAAAGGTTTTGAGAAGATAATTATAGGCTAAGTTAAGGGCATGAGGAAGAGCTTATGTTTACCCCATACTTTTAAGAGAAAAAGGCTTCAGAAAAGGAGAGATTATGCAAATCAGTAGGCCCACAGAACTGGTCTCTAAGGTGGTATCTTTCTAGTTAACTGTTGAGTCATCCTAGGAAATGCTCTGTAAGTTTATTCTTTGAAGACAGTGTCTGTCTAAATAGGTGCTTAGTCATCATCACAGAACATGCTCTATCAAGATGGCTGCTGTCCAGAAGGGTATCCAGGCTCACTCACATGGCATCTGAAAGATCGGAGCAGAGTTAAAGGTTGTTAAGAGGGAAGCCCTGGTAATATTTAGGTTATGTTTCCGGCCTTTGCAATGCTTGCATTAGCTGAATTCTGGCATTCTTAGTCTGAACTGTCACAGAGAAAAATACTGTGATTCAATACATTATGTAAAAAGGAAAATGAAAGGAGGAAAGAAGAAAGTCTGATTCAGAGCAAACCTAGCAGTAATTCAGTTACAATTTATAATGATGTTTTCCTTCCTATTCATTGAAAAGGTCATCTTTGATATACAGTAAGTCCTATTTTTTTATTATACTAGTTTATTTACAGTATTTTAATAAGTTGTTTTTCAGACCATATTCTTCCAATTTCCCTCACACACACCACACACACACCCCCATGTCAACAGAAGGGAGTGGCATCCCACTGTAGATTGCAGGGTGGAGAGGCAAACTGCAACATTTCCAGGAGTTAAACTTGCTAAGGAAGTCTTCCTCAAATTGGCTAGACTAAGATTATAAGGAATCCTCCCTCAGTTGTCTATACTAAAAAGACACTTCTCCCTTTTAAAATATTAAGGAATATTCATTTTCTCTTGCTTTCTTGCAATAGCATTATAAAAAAAAATTGAAATATTTAGAGTATTACCAAAATGTAACCCAGAGATGCAAAGTAAGCACATACTGTTAGAAAGTATGGTGCCAGTAAACTTGCCTAACTCCAAACCTTCAGTTTGTATTTGTGGAGCTCAATAGAACAACATAGGCGTATATAACAGGGATTAGAATGACTTGTCCATAGTCATAAAACAAAATATGCAGAGCTGGACTGAGTTCTATTTTTAAAATCCTATGGTTTTCCCCGTATATTAGCTCTCTCAACAGTTTTCGTTTTAATCTTTTATTGTTCTAAAATTTAACTTTTGTCAAGTCAGAGGACATAAGAGAGACTTAAAATAGTTGTATCTTTAGTATAAACAATCTTGCTTTTTCCCTTGCTCACTGTGTAAACTTGGGCAAATAACCTCAGTATGCCTCAGTTTTCGCATCTATAAATTAATACAACTATTATTAAAATATATGCACTAAAATATATAGTCACTAGAGCAAAAGTTGAAGAAATTAAAGGCTTCTATCAACTTTTGCAGTCTGCAACTAATTGAACATGAAATCAAGATGCTTTATAATTGGTGACTGGAATCCAAAAGTTAAAAACAAGGGGAGCTCTAGCAGCCTAGTGGCAAAAAGCTGCACTGAAAGTCCAGGGGCACACGGTTCTAATCCACCAGAGGCTCTGCCGGGGAAAGAGGAACAATTCCCTTCTGTACCAGTCAGATCCGATTTGATGGTACACACACAAAAAAAATAATAAAATTAAGAAAAAAAAGTTAAAAACAAAGAAGAGCTGATAATTAGGAAATATGACCCTGGTGGCAGAAATCACATGCTAGGACATCATTGATTTATTCATTGCATATCTCTTTTTAAACAAAAAAAAAAAAACCACACAACAGCAACTATATACTTAGACCTTATCTGATAGACTACAGGGGAATCAGAGTGACTATGCCTATGAAAAATCAGTGGAGAAGCTCAGTATTGCAATCAAAACCAAGCCAGGGGCTGACTGTGGGACAGAACATCATTACTTATATGTAAGTTCAAACTGAAGTTGAAGAAAATTAAAGCAAGTGTCCAAGAAGCAAAATAAGACCTTTAGTCTCTAAGACCTGAATGTAACAATCATCACAAGAATGTATTTGATGCACTGAACACTAATGATTAAAGATCAGATGAGTTGTGGGATAACATCAAGGATATCCATGAAAAAAACAAAAGGTCATTAAAAAGATAGGGGGGGAAAGACCAAAATGGATGTCAGAAGAGACTCTGAATATTGTACTGGAACACAGAGCGGCCAAAATAAAGGAAAGAAATGCTTACATAAAAGAAATGAACAGATTTCAAAAGGAAACTTGAGAAGACAAAGTACTAAAATGAACTGTGCCAAGAGTTGGAGTTAGAAAATCAAAAAGGAAAAATTTGCTCAGCATTTCTCAAGGTGAAAGAACTGAAAAATTCTAGCTTAAAATTACAATACTGAAGTATTCTACAGACCAAAGTTTGTAATGCAAGAATCATCAAAAGAACAGGAAAGGAATACATAGGGTACCAAAAATAATTAGTAAAAAAAAAATAATAATTTGTCAACACTGAAATGTTTCAGGAGGTAGCCACTGATCAAGAAACAGTAATAATGAAGGAAAAAATTAAAGCTATGCTGAAGGCATTGGTAAAAAATAAGGCCTCAAGAATTGATGGAATACTAATTGACAAATTACATCAGATACAGCTCTGTACATGCTCATCAGGCTTTGCCAAGAAATTAAGAAGACAGCCGTCTGGCCAGCTGAGTGGAAAAGGTCCACATTTGTTCTCATTCCCAAGAAAGGTGATCCAACAGAATATGGAAATTATCAAACATTATCATTAATATCACATGCAAGTAAAGTCTTGCTGAAAATTATTCAAAAACAGCTGGAACAGTAAGAGTACATCAACAAGCCAGAAAGTCAAGATTAATTCAGAAGTGGCAATAGCATGAGTGATATCATTGCTAATGTCAGAAATGGATCTTGGCTGAGAACAGAGAATACCAGAAAGATGTTTATCTGTGGCTATACAAAGACATTTGACTTGTATGGATTAAAACAATTTATGAATCACATTGAAAATATGGGGATCCCAGAACATTCAAAACCTATACATAGACCAAGAAGTTGTTGGCTGAACAGAGCAAGAGAACACTGCATGGTTTAAAATCAGGAAAAACACTGTTCAAGGTTGTATTCTTTCCATACCTGTTCAATCTGTATGGTAAGCAAATCATTGGAGAAACTGACATTTATGAGGTGAATGTGGCATCACATTGGATTGGAGAAGCTCATCAGCAATCTGTGTGATGCAGGTAACACAATTGGATTGCTTAAAAGAGTAGTAAAGAGTACTTGAAACACTTGAAAGAGTAGTAAAGAGTACTTGAAACACTTGAAAGAGTAGTAAAGAGTACTTGAAAGAGTAGTAAAGAGTACTTGAAACACTTGCTGCAGAAGATGTAAGTCTGCAGTCAGTCTTCAATATGGATTGTATTTCAGTATTAAGAAAACAAAAATCCTCACCAGTGGGCCGGTAAGCAACATCATGATGGATGGAGAAGAGACTGAAGTTGTCAACTATTTCATTTTACTTAGATCCACCATCAACATCCATAGTAATGGAATCAAAAGAATCAAGAAATCAAAAGACATGTTGCACTGGAAAAAATCTGTCAGTCCTTTGTCCCCAAAGTGCTTAAAGACTAAGGTGTGCCTGAGCCAACCCAAGGTATTTTCAGTTGTTTCCTGTGCCTCTGGAAGTTGGACAATTTATAAGGATGACAAAAGAAGTATTGATGGCAGTGTTACAGAAGAGTACATATTAACCCCATGAAGTGCCAAGAGAAACAAACCTGTCTTAGAGGAAGTGCAGGGTGCTCTTTAGATGGTGAAAATTCATCTCACATACTTTGTTGTGAGGAGGGGCCAGTCCTCGGAAAATGTCATCATCCTGGGAAAGGAGAAGGGTTAGTTAAAGGAAGGAAGACCCTCAACAAGATAGGTTGACAAAGTGACTGTAACATGATACATACATAGGAGGATTGGGGAGGGAGCATTGCCAATGTGGAAGTACTTTATATTTCTAAAAACGATTAATATTTTAAAACATAAATACTTTTCTTGTGTGTGTGAAAAATCTGTATTTAGAATTAGCCAGCTGGACTCAGTTTAAATTATCTCAATTTTGTTGGCAACATCCAAAGCATCATAGTCAGAAGCAAGTCAAACACAGGCTTTCTCTCGTCTGACCTAATAAAAGTCATGACCTTGGCCACATCAGTATCACAAAGCTTCTTTACAGTTTGATTTGCTGTTTGTTGTTCTTGACATCCACAATGAACACAAGTGTGTTGTTATCTTCTATCTTCATGGCTGATTCAGTGGTCGGGGGAAACTTGATGTTGTTATAGTGGTCAAGCTTATTTCTCCTGGAGGTGCTCTTCTAGGGATATTTGGGCTGCCTTTAGAGTCTCAGTGTCTTAGGCTGCCGGGAAGATTGGTGACATGTGGGGGTTTTTTTTCTTTTGGTGGCTGTGGATGCCATTCAGGACTGCCTTCTTGGCCTTTATGCCTTTGACTTTTGCTTTGGCTTCAGTTTGGGGGCTTCCTTTTTCACTTTGGGTGCCATCTTCATAGAAAGCATCTTTTCCTATTGTCTAAGCCTTGCATAAAACTTTATCTCCTACAATAACTTGTGGGGGATAGACTAAAATTATTTGTATTGATCAATTTATAATTTTTTATACTTACAGGTCGAATTTCTGTTCCTATTGATTTACATAAACTCGAACAGTTTGATCCATTTGCTGTTCCAACCATCAGGTATGTTTCAAATCATTGATCATTTCTTATTTGAGTTTGCTCAGAATTTGAAATGTTGTTGTTATGTGCCGTCGAATCACTTGCGACTCATAGCGACCCTACGTACAACAGCCCTAAACTCCGCTCTGTCCTGTGCCAATCGCACTGTCTCTGACACTCCCATCCCAATTATCCCAGTCACTGAATCAATCCACCTCATAGAGGGCCTTCCTCTCCTGCGCTGTCCCTCCACCCTCCCAAGCATGATGTCCCTCTCTAAGGACCTGTTTCTCCTCACAACATGTCCAAAGTATGTTAGACGGAGCCTCAGAATCCTTGCCTCCAAGGAGCCACCCGGTTTAACCCTTTCCAGGACAAATCTGTTTGTTTTCCTAGCAGTCCATGGTATTCTCAATACTCTTCTCCAGCACCACAGCTCAAAGGCATCAATTCTCCTTCTATCCTCCTTGGTCATTGTCCAACTCTCTGATGCATAACAAGTGATTGTGAAGACCATGGCCTGAAACAAATGCACCTTAGTCTCCAGAGAGACACCATTGCTCTTCAGTACTTTGGAGAGGTCCCTAACAGCAGACTTTCCCATGGCAATGCGCCATTTAATTTCCTGGCTGCTGGTGCCAAGACTGTTTGTTGACTGTGGAGCCAAGCAAACTAAAGCTGTGTACAATCTCAATCTCTTCACCATCCATCCTGATGCTGCCGATTGGTCCAGTGGTGAGAATCTTTGTCTTCTTGACATTGAGACTCAATCCATATTGTAGGCTGCAGTCCTTGACACTCTGCAGCAGGCGCTTCAGGTCCTCTTCAGTTTCAGCAAGCAGGGTTGTGTCATCCGCATAACGCAGATTGTTGATAAATCGTCCACCAATCTTGACCCCACATTTCTCCTCATAGAGCCCAGCCTCCCGGATAATCTGTTCTGCATATAGGTTGAAAAGGTATGGTGATAGGATGCATCCCTGGCCCTTCCCAATTTTGAACCATGCAGTGTTCCCTTGCTCTGTTCTGACAACTGCCTCCTGGTCCACGTATAAGAATTTGAAATAGATTGAATTAAATTCCTTCTAGAAATGTAGCTGTAGGAAAATCATGTATTAATTATGATACCACCCAACCTGCTCTGAGGTTAGATGATGAGAAACCTAATAACGTAACATTTCTTTGTGAGTTCAACTGTTAAGCACAAAAAGGGCTTTGAAGTAAAATATATTTAAGAATTGCTGATTTTTTTTTTAATTTTTTTTTTTTTATTTTGTGTATGTGTACCGTCAAATCAGATCTGACAGGTACGGGAGGAGATTGCCCCTCCTTTTTCCGGCAGAGCATCTGGTGGAAGAATTGCTGATTTTAAAAGTCTCATTACTGCATAATTTTTAACATTTACTATGTGAATGAATATGCATGAGAAACTCCATAACAATTAGTTTTTAGAATATCTGAAACTTGACCATATAATATAATAATATAAATTTTTTGCAGAAAATCTTGTGATATACTTTGGGTAATGTTAAAAATCCAACTTTAGTGCTCACTTCAGCAATACATATACTAAAATTGGAGCATGAGAATATTAGCATGGCCCCTGCGCAAGGAAGATATGCAAATTCATGAAGCATTCCATATTTTTATATATTAAAGTCTAAACAGAAAAAAAATCCAACTTTAAATTTCTCTTTTTCTATTATTTATAGTTCTATCTGCCATGAACTGAATATCATCTCCACTAATGAAGAGGAAAATGAAGCTGAATCTGATGTTAAACGTAGAACTAGAGGTGGGTTAATATACTGAAGTCTCACTTTAACACAGCTTTTTCTATAAAACATCCCTCTGTCACTCTAAACCCTTGGACTCAGCACATAATGCATCATTGTTTATCTTGAAACTAGTTCAGTAACAAAAATTATGGTAACAGTGTTTCTGTCCCTTATTATTTGTCCACTAGTCCAGTTAAAGTCAATCTGATTTAACAAATACTTATGGAAGAATTTTTTTTAAGCTTTTCAAAAATTATTTTTATTATTACATTCCAAAGAAGACATAAGAAAAAAAGGCCAGTTATTCAATAACTGTTATTTATACTTCTCTGAGGGAGGCACTTGCAACCTCAGCTCTGTTCAAAGCTGACACTAGTGCTCACACCTGCCTCCCACCAACTTGACTGGGAATTCTCACAAACAAGTGTATGTCATCAATCCAGGGAGGCATGGGTTTAAAAGGAAATTTCTTTATTGCAAGTGTCCACATTATTAAATATATTAGAAGATGAGAAAGTCCACACATACCAAGACTATATATTTATTCATTAGCGTAAACTAGCAAACAGTCCATTTGCTCCCGGATGCACTGCATCAGACGTCACAGTACAAAGAAGAGACTCTACGTTTTACAAATAGCTACCAAGCATTTTCAGGTCCAATTTACTATGAAGTGCAGCCAGAGGCCAACCAGTTGGCTAGTTAACATATCATCAGTGCAAAATTCAGATGGGTAGTCAGAACTTCAGTGAGCCTGGTTACACTGGAAAATAGAAATGAAACTTGAAAACAGGAGGTAAAGACTATTTACAAAAGTTTGTTTAATAATAAAGTGACTTGAGAAAAGTTAAGCACTTCCCATGCATCCCCCATCCACCCCCTGCAAAACAAACAAAAAATAAAACCTAAAAATTATCTTTAAAATAAAGTTAAAACTTCCTGGTAAAAAAGAGAGTGCTTGTTCCAGATAGAGGACTTCAAATAATTTACAAGGAAGATTTATTTATATTAGTAAAAGTCACAAATAGGAAAAAGTTTATTGGCTGACATTTGAGATGTGTGCTTTCAAAAATGTCTCTATTAATACTTTAAGGAAAAGTAAAATATCAAGCACATTTTTGCTTCTGTTTTAAACTTCCAGGAAAAGTTTAGTGAAATCAACAAGGTTAAAACTCAGCCAATTCTTCCTTTGTTTTCTTTCTAATAACCCTGTACTGGAATCACAATTAGCTGAGGACAACATGACGGTCAGAGACAGATTTTCGCTGCTCTTGAACTTGAAGTTTCCAGCGCTGCTGAGCATATTCCACCTTGTTCAGCACATTGGCTAGACTGCAGGAGCGGGCCAGCACATCATGGGCATTTGCAAAAGGCTGATGATCCCCAACATCATCGTCACTCTGTATCAACTGTGAGTGTCCAAAGAGGCGTCTCTTCAGGATGGGCTCGACCAGAGTAAGATATACCATGTACAGAAGCAGCAGGCCCAAAATAGAGAGACAAATTATAATGGTAACCTTGATGGTAACAGAGCTTCTTTCTTCATATTTGCATTCACAGCGCAGACAGTATACTTCTACGTCAGGCCCCCGCACAGGCATGGGTTCCACAACATGAAGGCAGTCACAGTCTTTCTGGGATATGTTCTTATTATAAATATGCCCAGAATTATCTTTATAAGGAGGACAAATACATTTACACTGGACATCCTCGAAATTCTTGGCGGCATCTGACAGCTGCACGGGGAGCAGAACGGTGAACGCCAGGCAGGACAGACTGAGCATGGAACCAAGGTGAAAGAGGCCTCCCCACAGGCCTGCCATCGCGGACAGACCCAGCAGCCCCCACAGCCCAGAGCCCCGTTTCCGGTTCCAGCTCCCGATCCCGCTCAGGCGCCTCCGCCTTATGGAAGAATTTTTAAATATTAGCATCTATATTACAAAATATCAATTGGTAACAATAGTTGTTTGAATTTTCACAGTCACCTAGTTTCAATAGGATTTCTGAAGCTTCTCTGATGTACTTTGGACATGTTGCAAGGAGGGACCAGTCCTTGGAGAAGGACATCATGCTTGGGAGGGTGGAGGGAGAAGAAGACCCTCTATGAGGTAGATTGATTCAGTGACTGGGATAATCAGGGTGGGTGTGTTGGAGACAGTGAGGTTGTCACAGGAGAGAGCAGGTTTTAGGGCTGTTGTACATAGCGTCGCTATGAGTCACAGGCAACTTGATGGCACATAACAACGACAACATAGTGGCCCATGGTTAAGGAATCACGCTGCCAATCCAAAGGCAGGTGGTTTGAATCCACCAGTTGTTCTGCAGGAAAAAGACAGGCAGTCTCCTCCTTTGCAATTTACAGCCTCTGAAGACCTGCAGGAGGGCTAGCTGTAAATTAGTTCCAACTCATAACACATAGTAACACCATGTTTGCTGAACTTTTGTTCTTTACTTTGGTTTTTATGTATAGAGCTAGGTTTCATGGTAAATAGAGGGTCAGCAAGATGGATTGACACACAAACTCTAACAATGGGTTTAAGCATAAGACTAGTGCAGGACAGGGCAAAGTTCCAATCTGTTGTTCATAGGATAGCTATGCGTCATAGTTGACTTAATAACACCTAACATGTCCTGTTATTATTGTTATATGCCATTGTGCTGCTTGCAACTCATAGTAACCCCATGTACAACAGGTCTAAACCCTGCTCTATCCTGAGCCAACCTTATCATCTCTGACACACCTACTCCCATCACACCAATCACTGAGTCAATCCATCTCATCGAGGTCTTCCTCTTGCACTTGTCCCTCCACCCTCCCAAGAATGATGTCCCTAGTTGCAGCATGCCCAAACTATGTCAGACAAAGCCTCAAAATTCATGCCTCCAAGGAGCAGCCTGATTTCACCCTCTCTAGGATGAACCTGTTTGTTCTCCTGGCAGTTCATGATATATTCAATACTCTTCTCCAGCACCACGGCTCAGAGGCTTCAATTCTCCTATCATCCCAGTCATTGTCCAACTTTTTGACGCATAGCAAGTAACTGTGAAGACTATGGCCTGGATCAGGCACACCTTATCCTCCAGACTGACATCGTTGCTCTTCAGTACTCTGGAGAAGAATTTCATGAGACAACAGATGAGCAAGAGCCTGTGGTGATGAAGGAAGAAGTTCAAGCTGCTCTGAAAAAAATTGGCAAAAAAACAAGGGCCCAGGAATCAAAGGCATACCGATTTTATATTTCAACATCTATTTGACATATTTCAACAAATAGACACTGCCCTGGATGTGCTCACCAAGTTGTGCCAAGAGTCTAGAGGACAACCAACTGGAAAAATGACTGAAAAGATTTTTATTTGTGCCCATTCCAAAGAAAGATGACCTCACATGTGCAGAAATTATCAAACAATATCCTCAATATCCCATACAAGCAAGATTCTGCTGAAAATTAACCAGAAACAACTAGAATAGCACATCAGCAGAGAACAACCAGATGTGCAGTCTGGGTTTAAAAGAGGCTGTGATAGTAGGGATTTTATAGCTAATGTTAGATGGATCTTGGCTGAGAGCACAGTACCAGAAGAATATCTGTGTTTCATTAACTGTACACAGGCATTTGACTGTGTAGATCACAACAAACTGTGGCTAACTTTGAGAAGAATGGGAATCCCAGAACATTTGATTGTGCTTATGTGAAACCTATACTTACTTGGACCAGGAGTAACGGTGTACTCCAGGGATGTGTCCTATCTCCGTACTTTTTCAATTTAGATGCAGAACAGATCATCCAGGAGGCTGGGCTGTATGAAGAGGAATGAGGCATTAGGATTGGAGAAAGAATCACCAACAACCTGCTTTATGCAGATAACACTGCTTGCTGAAACTAAGGAGGATCTGAAGTGCTTGCTGCAGAAGGTCAAGGACTACAGTCTTCAATATGGATTGAAGCTCAGCCTCAAGAAAACAAAAATCACTATGGGGCCGACTAGCAGCATCATGATAGACAGTGAAGAGATTGAGATTGTTAACAGCCTTTGTTTGCTTGGCTCCACAGTCAACACTCTTGGTATTGGCAGCCAAGAAATCAAAAGACGAATTGCATTGGGAAAGTAACAAGTCTAGCCATGATTAAATTTTATATTCAAGAGTTGGAAAATGTGTAACTCTTCCTGTTAATAGAAATCAAATCTAATGACGACACCCAAGAGACACTACAGCAATAGAGTTCAAAAGAGTACCTGTGATGGTAGAAATAGTACCTATCTACATTGTTCAATATGATAGTCACTCTGGTGGTGGTAAGGAGTTGCAGTGCCAACTCAAAGGCACATAATTCAAATCCAGCAGTTGCTCTGCAGGGAAAGATGGGCAGTCTTCTATAAAATTAACTACCTCTGATAAGCCGCTGGGTTTTTCTAGCTTTTAATAATGCTAATTTGCATGGGAATTGCCCATCCTTTTCCTTCAGAATACCTGGTGAGTGCCTTTGGTATTGCAGCACAGCTTCTTAGAGTAGGCCACCAGAACTCCTTATCTAGGTTGACTAAGACACTTAATCTTTCATTCACTGTATTTCCATTTATATAGCCACATGTGGTTAGTGACTACAGTACTGGACAATGAGCCACATGTGGTTAGTGACTACAGTACTGGACAATGCAAACCTGCGAAGTCTCTGATCTTTATGGTCAAATGTTACTGTTTTGGGATTTATTTTTTTTAATTGTTTTTTTTATTTGTGTGGGTTTTTTGGGGTTTTGGTTGGTTAGCTAATTTGGTTTGTTGGTTTGAAGTTGGGTTTTCTGGTTTCAAAAATTCCAAGTTCAAATCTTCCTTAATCTATGCCAGCCTGAACAATACTTAAATGTATTACATTCCACCATTAATGTTAGTTTTTATAATTTAAAAAAGTCTCCAACATCAAAGACATATCAGAATAAACTGGAAAAAGGAACTCGGGGAAAACAAACAAGGCAAGGAACAAAACAAACTTTCTTAAAAATACCTACTATAACTAATATCCTCAGAGAATAAGATTGCATTAAATCTTATCAGCTTATTTTATGACAGATAGGCTTAATTTTGATTAAATGTTACAGCTGGAAAATGTATACCAAATTTTTTACAGATATTTGGAAGAACTTATTTTTATGAGCCTACTTTTTCAACTCTACATCTTATAACTTAATATCTAGCATCTGGACTGAGATGAACTTTTAAGCACCAAATATACATGATTGCAAAGACGTAGTATGGGGGGAAAAGTGTAAAATACAATTTTTTTTAGTATGTGCAAATTTTCTATATTCTAGGTCAAAAAATATATAATTTCATTTTACCTTAACAATATTTTCACAAATCCACCAGATGCTTTGCTGGAAAAAGGAGGGGCAATCTCCTTCTATACCAGTCAGATTCAATTTGACGTTACACACACACACAAAATAATAAAATAAATTTAAAAAAATATTTTCAGTAATTCTATATATGGATGGTACAACTGTTATAGAGAATTTTTACTAAGAAATTTAGAGTTATATATGCATGTCATTCTTGCTGCAAAAATGCCAACTATAATGTATGTTTTTATAACTTAGATTATAAGAAGACTGGTCTAGCTCCTTATGTGCAAGTTTTTGAGCAGTTTCTTGAAAGACTGGATATGTCCCGAAAAGGAGAGCTTCTTAAGAAAAGTGGTAAAACTCTACGGCCTTTCTCTTTATCTGTTTGATTCTTAGCTTAGATAATATCAAGCACCCAACAAGTGAGAAGTTTTGGAACTCTGGTCCTTGTGCTTGCCCCATAAATATATTGCCTTATCTTAATATCCTTGGTATTTTTTAAAATTTATCTCTCTTAGCTCTGTTTAACACGTGGGGGGGGGGTCCCCAATATTTTGCTGTGTCAGCACCTATTTATTTATTCACTACCTTTTATTTCAGATGTAAGGAAAAGAAACAAAGGTGAATTGCACAAAGTTTAATTCCATACCATGTTCTAAGTTAATAATCTTACTAACTCAGTACAAAACAATGATGTGCAAAATGCTTAAAATGGGTCAAATTTAAACTTCTTTTTGTGATTTGCTGTAAGAATTCTAATTTCCAGTATCAAATACTGAATAGCTGAGGTTCAGGTATTGTAAAAGAATTAATTGTTCATTCTGGAAGGATCAGCACATAAAAGTGTCACATTGCTCAAGAGGCTGTCAAATATTAGACTGGAAAATATGTCAAGAATTGATGGGATACAAATCTGAACAAGCAAGCTAAAGATAGTAAAGACTTGAGAATTTGAATGTCATTCAATACCAACAGGGAAGCCAGTGAAACTTTCTGAAGAAAGGAATACCATGATTGTAACATTACTCTAGAAAGATAAATTTGGCAGTAGTAGATCTGGGCAGAAGTAGAAGCCAATTGGAATGTTGCCCTTACGACAGAAGCATGGAACATCTTCAGAAGGTCCAAACACTGGAACTATCTTGAGCCTTGGTGATGATTTTGTAAGTGCTGTTAAAAAAGAAGGGGAAAGCGTCACAGAAGTGAAAGGAAGATTTCAATGAGATTATTAAGTGCCAGTCAATGGATAAAATCTTGCTTATATACAGTAATTTGAAGAAAGAGCTAGGGGGATAGCAAGATCAGAGAAAGAATTCTGTGAATGTGAGAGACTTGAGTATATGTGTAAGCCAAAAATGGGGGCAAATCATAATAGTATATCCAACAGGTTGAGGGATACCGTAGAAATATTATAGAAATAAAAATACTCCCTTTACTTGATTTAATTAAGTATATCATGGTTTAAGGTGCAGTACGCAGGTAGTTGTCAAACTGAGGAGGACCTGAAGCACTTGCAGAAGGTCAAGGACTACAGCCTTCAATATGGATTGAAGCTCAACATCAAGAAAACAAAGATTCTCACCACTGGGCCAATTGGCAGCATCATGTTAAATGGTGAAGAGATTGAGATTGTTAACAGCTTTAGTTTGCTTGGCTCCACCATTAGCACCTTTGGTACCAGCAGTCAGGAAATTAAAAGACAAATTGCATTGAGAAAGTCTGCTGTAAGAGACCTCTCCAAAATACTGAAGAGCAACGATGTCAGTCTGCTCTTGATTCAGGCTACAGTCTTTGCAATTACTTGCTATGCATCAGAAAGTTGGACAATGACTAGGGATAATGGAGAATTGATGCCTTTGAACTGTGGTGCTGGAGAAGATTGTTGAATATTCCATGTTCTGCTAGGAGGACAAACAGGTTCATCATAGAGAGGGTGAAATCAGGCTGCTCTTTGGAGGCAAGGATTCTGAAGCTTTGTCTGGCATACTTTGGCCATGTTGCAAAGTGGGACCAGTCCTTGGAGAGGGATGTTATGCTTGGAAGGGTAGAGGAACAACACGAGAGGAAGACCCCTGATGAGATGGATTGATTCAGTGATTGGGGTAATCGGGATAGGTGTGTCAGAGACAAAAAGATTGGCACAGGATAGAGCAGGGCTTAGGGCAATTATACATAGGGTCGCTATGAGTTGCAGGCGACTCAGCACCACATACAACAACTACAAGGGAGTTTCACTACTCACTCAAAGGCCATGACTCTCTCGTGGTTCAGATTCACTAGTGGCTTCCCAGAAAAAGATGAGAAATATTTTCCTGTGCAATTTACAGTCTTGGACACCCAGTGGAGAATCAGCTATGAGTCAATTCCAAATCAGCAGTAAACTGAGTTGTATTAGCATAAAATATTACTTGTGTTAACATTCCAATATGTGCTTATTGTGTCCTTGAGTAGTGCAAACAGTTAGCCTTTCAACTACTAACAAAAAAGGTAGCCAGTTCTAACTTACCCAGAGATACGTCAGAACAAAAAGCCTGGCAATCTGCTTCTGAGATGTCATAGCCATCAAAACCATGTGGGGAACAATTCTTTCCTGCAGCACATGGAGTTCCTATGAGTAACAATCAACTTGATGGCAACTGGTATGTGTTTATTAAATGGATGGTAGCAACTCAGAAAGCTGTCATTCCCACTCACAGTATTCTTGTTCTTAATTTAGTCTATAATGTGGATTTCTGCAAATGTGAAAGCAAAACTTTGTGTGCTGTGCATGTAACGAAAACATTAAGCCAATCAGAATGTGAAAATCTATTTTTTTGTTTTACATTGCTATATTTTGATAAAAGCTTATTCTGTTTTAGATTTACAGAAAGATTTCTGAAGATAAAACTTCCAGAAAACCACTGCATCTACTTTGAACCAAGGATCAGATATTTCAAGAGTCGTTTAATGAATAAATATGGCAGAACCATGTATGCATCTTAATTCTCAAAGTAAATTTCCTTTTCTTGAGAAATAATTATGTTGAAAAGAATATCAAGGTTCCTGGTAGAAGCAATAAAAGGAAGAATAAGTGATGACTGGATTCCGTTAAGATTTTTAAGCTTTAATGTTATGTAAAGATGTCTAATAAACAAGCTAGTACAAATTGCCAATTATAGTATTAAGTGAACAATAACCTATGTGCCCAAGACTTTTATCTCCACTCACTAAACTGTCTCTTGATAGTCTAGAGGCAGGTTCCTAAAAGAAGACAAGAAAACTCACAAGAACATACACTGAGTTAGAAATCCATGGTTAATCATGGTTGCACAAGTTATAGTCATTCCTGCATTTTCTTATTACTTTATGTTTGCCTTTCACTTTCCAATTTATCAATATTTAAACTTGTGTTCAAGACTGGTTTTACATTCAGTATAGCCTCTAAACAGT